CTAGAACATGTTAATAGCTCTTTTCTACAATGATTTTATACACTGCTAGCATATTTTAACATAAATAAATGCACAAAATAGATGGATGTGATCACATTTGTGGGATTTTACAAGTTTTGTTCATTACTTTGAGGATGCTGGAAGTACAATCAGTTATACACAAAGTCAGAACGGTCTGAATCTCTGACCAGAGTTTTTTGGGTTTAGTTTGAACACTCAAGAAACTCCAGTAAGGGTAGTTTTTTTAAATTGAAGTAAAGTTGGTTTTATATACACACTCTTTCGGACTTTCTCCTTAAAAATATACTTTCAGAAAACTCCTCTTTGTAAATTCTAAATAGTAAAGTCATGTTAGCGGCTCATGTCTCTCAAAGTACAACATTGCTCACAGTCAAATAAATAATGCTAACGTTGTTTTGAAGTCATACTTACATGTGTTTTAAGACTGCATTTACAAAGTACCATGGTAAACAATATGGGGAGCATGTCACAAGCTGTCACTGAACGAATGTGCGAATATAAAACCTTCACCTCAATGTTTCTGAAGACCTTTAAATCTCAAGCCAACATAAACATCAGTACACCTCAACATCACATGTACTTTGCATTGAACGAGTAAAATATTAATACAGTAATGTATTACAAACGTCAATCATTAAATCAATGCATGAAGAAAGCAGCTGAAGATGGACCAGACTTGACGTGTAGTACCACTATTTACTATTGTAAATGAAAGCCCAAGTTCACAAAAGAAGCAAAGACTACTTCAATGGGTTCAAACTTGCCATGTTAATTTCCATTCTGTTAATTTGTTTCATTACTGGTTTAACCTGATTTACTTGTACTTAAACACATTCAAAAATGTATACGTACATCACATTATCATATGAAATCGTCGTATATCACATTATATCATTATTAAGCCATTTCTGAAGTGGAATTAGCAATAAAAGTGTTTTTGAACAACTAAGATACCTCAAAAAGTATAAAATTATCAAAACAAACCCTGCATTAAATGTGCACCAGAAGTAAACACAGTGTTAGAAAGCAGTAGTAAGTTGTCCAGCAGCTTGCATCATCAGTGCATGTTCTCTCTACACACGCACCCGGATACAGTAAAACAAATCAGGCGAAACCACAAACATCAAATGTGCTTCACAGAAATACCTTTATAAAGCGACTCGACACTGTTGTTTATGTCTCGTGGCGCTCCAGTCGTAGTAAAAACCAATGAAGTGAGTTAAACACCGTGATGATGTGGGCTTGCAGCAGTGGAGGAGCACGTGGCATCAGATCCGCCAATCACAGAAGAAAAGAGTCTCCCTCCCCTTGCGATGATAGGAAGTCGGACACATTTCCGCAGATCGGTTCCTTTGAAGTTTATACCAGTCTTGGTTTTAATTATGTATGTTTGTGTATTACAATGTGCAGAACTGTGATCTGTGAGCAACTCATATTTTTTTCAGATTTTAGATTTAGTTATCTGTTAATGACATTTTAAGAAATGTTGTTTTTGTATTTATTTATTCATTCATTCATTGTATTAAATGCTTAAAAAACATTTACAACAAATGTCATCAATCAAACAACAACAATCCAGAGGTTTTCAGTCATTTAGTCCAAGACATGTGCCAAGTCCTTCATCAAAGTCCTTGTCCGTATTGCTTTTAAGTTTGTTGATCCCTCAATAGACTCAAAATACAATTTTATTTCAATTTTAAATTCAGAAAAAAAGGTTTACACTTACAAAACTTGCTTTTGTGAATATGAAATTTGACCAACAGGAAAATAAGGTTCATGAAATATATATTACTTCCCAGCACACTATTTTCTGTTTAATAGATGTCTAATAGACATCTAAAGCTTGGCTAAAACAAGGCTAAACTGGGCTGTCAGTGAAAATCTAATAGACATCTAACAATAGACCAAAACTAGACAAGTCGTCAAATAGACAGATTAGACAGTCTTTATGTGTGTAGTCATTCATTCCTGTTTATTTGATGAATAATCTAGTTTTGGCCTATTCCTAGATGTCAATGAGATTTTCACTGACAGCCCAAATTTAGCCCTGTTGTAGCCAAGACAACTATTTTCAATCAATAATATCACACCAAAATGTCACTGAATGAGGCCAATTCCAAAATAAATAAACAGAAGCCTTTTAAGATTACACTGGTCTGGATAGCATCTATGAACCTACTTTGTTCATAAAATTGTTTTGCAGAAAATGCACTTTATAATTTTTTTAACACCTTAACATGAACTGATATTTTAATATTATATTACACATTATATTACATGACATGCAATTTTATTTCATTAATTCACTTATGGTTTTCTACACATGTTATTTTAATAATGTTTCTAGAATATGTTTGCAACATACTGTACACCAACAGCAAAATATATAATGAAAATCTGTTTAATTCGTTAGAAAATGTGTGTAATTCATATTAAAAATAAAATATGTTTCAATCTAATAAATTAATTTATTTTTTATAAATAAATTAACTCAAACTTTATTATTTCTTTTTCTTTGAGCAGATATAACTTTTTTTATTAACACTTAAAGAACAAAGTACAGAACAATACAAATACAACAAGAGAAAGAAAGAAAGAAAGAAAGAAAGAAAGAAAGAAAGAAAGAAAGAAAGAAAGAAAGAAAGAAAGAAAGAAAGAAAGAAAGAAAGAAAGAAAATAAAAAGGTAAGGGATGTACAAAAAACCAAATATAAATAAGACAAACAAATATATGTGTAAGTATACATACTTAAAAAAGGGTAAAGACCTTGACTAAGGTAAAGTTGGTTTAGTGACAACTTGTGACATGCTCCCTATATTGTTTACCATGGTAGGCTACTTTCAATACTCGGACTGAAATCACTTGAAATTATGATTCAAAACAACATCAGCACTATTTATTTGACTGTGAACAATAAAGTACTTTAATACTCATTGACTTCTAATATGATTTCACTATTTAGAATTTGTAAATAATATTTTTCTGAAATTATGTTATTAAGGAGGATGTCCGGATGTGTGAATATAAAAACCAACTTTACCTTAATGAGGCTTTAAGGGATTATAGAATCTTGAAGATTTCAAGTAAAAAACCAGTTTTAATGGTTTATTTTAGTGCTTTGCTTTATGCTGTTCTTATAATATTCTAATTATTTTAGTATAGCAGGATAAAATGTTTTTTGGCTATTAAATTGGCATTTGTGAATATGGTACTTTGTAAATCAAAAGATTAATAACATAAGCTTCCTTCTCTATTTTTGTTACAGTTCAAAAATCCAGAATTAACATGTTGGTATCCTAAATGAAAATGTGGCAATAATTTGTGGTCAATGAATTTGGATTTGTCGTGCCAAATTTTCTTTGAGAAATGACAATTATACAATATATTGGGCAGTTTCTGGCTGTGACAAAGAAAATGAACAGTTTTAATCTATGTCTTGTCTAAACTTGGAAATAAAATGTTTGACGGGGTAAAATTCATGTAGAGTTTTAAATGAGACCTCTTTAAATTTGTTTGTGATAAAAAAGTTAGGCAACGATTTGTGGACTACGTCACTTTTCGGCCTTCTTGGAATGCGTGTATTATTTGCGTACTACGTCATTCCGTCTTCCCCTTAGTAACCCTCGGCGGCGTCTCAGGGAGGCAGAATCACAAGATGGTGAGTTAAAGCGCTTATAATAAACGAATTTCAACATGTAGACTCCTTCGCTCTGAATTTCAACCTTCTGTTAGTTTACATTGTTAAAATCTTTTGATGTTCGCCGTTATTTCCGAGCAGACTCGTAGCTCTTGTAATCTAGCGGTTTTAAAGATGAGCAGCGGTTCTCGGTCGTGGATGAGATTAGCTTTCGGGATTGATTGTTTAGGTGTCACGACTGTTCGACAATTGCGTATTAAGTGCGTTTTATATATGTTCTCATGTCTGTTTGGGGGTTGGAAATGATATTAAGGATCTATTATCTTTAATTAGCCATCCCTCTAGCATTCATTATTGCTCCTCTTGAAAGCTGTTTGTTGTTGATGCTCGTGCGTATGACGTCATGTTGCACGCATTGCAAAAACTCAGATCACTGTACATTCTGCGCCTTTTAGGGTTTGTTGTCCATTTTACGGAAACTGAAGAGCACCCCAGATCAGGAGGTGAGGATATTGCTTCTAGGACTGGACAATGGGGGAAAGACGACCTTACTGAAACAGCTAGCATCTGAAGACATCACTCATATCACTCCAACACAGGTACAGACACGGTTACTGTAACTACTGCATTCACATCTCCAGATAAAGCTAATTAGATTAAATTGATATAAACCACTTTGATCAAAGATGAATGAGGGTTTTTAGGCATCAGTGTTTTTGCCATGCATTAAAAGATGTTTTGATTTATTGTATTTTTCAAAAAAAAAAGATTCAATCAATTTATCGATATATAATCATACATTTTAGACATAAATTGCAGAAGACACCCAGTAAAATACAATATCAGTCATGATAAGAGTTTATACACCAAAACCTTTATTTATAAAAAGAACAATGATTGATGGCACATTAAATGGCTCAATTTAAGATTAAATGCCCTTTGATCTTAAATAGACTCTTTTAAAATATAATCAAATAACTATTGTACAATTCTTTGCCTTCAAAACGCCAATTTTTTGTCAATTTCTATACTTGCAAATAGCATTTTAATTTTTAAACATACCGCAAACCATATACAATCCTATCTACCCCAACAAATCAATCCCAAATAAAACAATGAACATCTGAAAAAAAAAAATTAATAAAAATTCAAGTTGACCTGTAGTTATTTTTAATAACCCTTTTTTTTCTTCTTCTAGGGTTTCAATATCAAGAGCGTCCAATCACAAGGATTCAAATTAAATGTGTGGGATATTGGTGGTCAGCGAAAGATCAGGCCCTACTGGAGAAACTACTTTGAAAACACAGATGTACTGGTGAGACCGTGTGTCTGATTAACGATCATCCCACAATCTATTTTGCACCAAAACATTTGGTTAATTGGATGTTTTTTTTATTTCAGATTTATGTCATTGATAGTGCAGACCGCAAACGATTCGAGGAAACGGGACAGGTGATGCATTGTCACTGTAGGGCTTTTCACATTTTAAGTAGTAAACCCTTAGCCCTGGATTATTATGCTGCACGTTTCACATGGCTTATAATTAACACTTGGCTAATAATTAATTCTGGGTTTCCATACATTTAGGTTTCACACTGTACAATCTTAAGCCTGGGCTAAAGGGATTGTTCACCCAAAAATAAAAATTGTTATCATTTACCTTTTTTTGTTTGCTTCTCTCGTTAAACACAAAATAAGATATTTTGGAAGCCAGTAGCCATTGGTTTCCATTGTGTTTTTTTCTTACTATGGAAATCAATGTTGATCGTCAGTAAATAGTAAAATTTACATTTTCATTTACTGATTTTTGGGTGAACTATCCTTTTAATGCTCTTATTAGCATGTTTGCTGAGCAACATAAAAAGCTTATAAAAACTCTAGCATTGTGCAGTCTTTTAATATACAGTATTTTGCCGTTTTTTATAACCCGAGGTAAAAAAACAGGACTAACCCACTTCTAAATTACTACTCTGAAACATTCCTTGTAACCCCAATTTTTACTTCATTGTCAAGAAATCGTCATATCTCAAGCGCATTCCCTGTATGTGTGAGCATTTCTAGTGTTCTGTCTTTGTTGCTCTGCGTTACAGGTCTATCAAAACCTATACCACGAGATTCATGAACAGTTTTTATCAGAAAGCTTTAATAACCATATTAAACACTGAACTGAAAACACATTCTTGACATGTAAGAATAACATTGGCGTATAGCACTTCATTTTTTCACAGAGCTTGTTGCTAAATTGTTATTTCTTATTCTTGTGCAATATGGTATTTATATAAATATTAAATATTCCTAAATATTCCTAAATATTCCTTAATTAATTGTTTACACATTATGTGGGCTGGTTATATTGGTAACTTGTTTGTTTAAACATTATTGGTCATTCTTCTTGAGTCTTGACACAGAAAAGAAATTTGTCTTTAACACTGCTAACATAAATACAACCTTACAACAATCACATAATAGCAAAACTCTACAAGACAACTACATGAATTTAAAAACGTTGTATATAGAACTTAAACTATATTAACGCAATAGATATTACTACAGATCATTCCCAGCAACCACCCTATTCACTTCACAGTGATCCGATCCAGGAAAACAACTGAAATTGGGATCAATGACTTTTTATAAGCATTTCTTGGGGCTCTAGGAATTTTTAACCTTTGTCCTGATTGTAAAAAGTTGTTTGTGACCAATTATCGTATTTGTCTGATTGATAATTTGCGATAATTCTTCTGTTTAAGTGTTGTGTTCCCAAACTATGAGACAATATTATATGTGAGAACATTCTCTATCAATGATCTATATGCCATGTTTAAAGTCTGTGTACAAACATTAAAACTTTCCAACTTGTAGAAGAGACCAAGGCGCTGTTTTCCTTCTAATAAACAGCCTCAACATTAGTTATCAAAATTCAGTTTATTGTCAATAATTGTGCCTAAATCCTTCAAATTCAAGACCTGCTCTACTATGCATCTGCTGCTCTTGTTCGATTTCCTAGACTTCTTAGTTTTTTTGTTTTTTCAATATTAAGATGAATTTTTGCCAAACCAGTCTGTAATACTGTCAATATATTTAAATGTGGCCAAATGTGCAATGACAAAAAAAAAAACAATCAATCAATAACAGTTTCGAAACACTAGTAGGCAGTGGAGTTTCTGTGGTCCACTATGTCGAGTTTCTTTACTGGTGTTTTACATCCTGGCCAAATTTGTCTTCATCACTCTGTCCTCTCTCCAACAATCAGCTAGTATGTGGTGTGCAGTCTGACGCAATATGGCAACCGTCATGTCATCCAGTTGGATGCTGCACACTGGTGGTGGATGGAGATTTCCCCCAATGTGTAAAGCGCTTTGAGTGTCTAGAAAAGGGCTATATAAATGTAAGGAATTATTATTATTACACTAGAAAGGCGTGAGATGTTACTGTAGAAAAGTATTTTAAACTCACTCATTCTGGGAAGAAAGAGGTGGGAACTGGCAAATGTTCAACAACTTTAATCCTATAAAATAAACCCAAACCAAAAGTATCCATCTGAGCTCCTCAATGGGACTCTGCTCCCATGGCTCTCGACCCTGCCCACTACATGTTGTCATGATTTTTAGCTACATTCATGAGTGTCAGGGTATTCCGAGGGCTATTGTGTGCACTTGACGCAGAGGTATAAATTGGCTCGACCTGGAGTTAAAGTTACCATGAAACGGAAGTTAAGATTTAACTTTTTTTCCTTTATCATGATGTACATCCACTTGAAACGGTCCTGAAATTAAGAAAAAAAATGTTGGGCAGTCATGATTTGGTCCTTTGGGAACCAATTGGATTGTTTGGAAGATGGGCATTGCTAGCAAAATGAAAAAAGATTAATGAATGTATGAAGGCATAGTCGAAACAAGACACGCCCTGATAGCTCCGCCCCAAAGGCATCCCATGTGGCCAGAAGTGAAGACCAATTGTTTTAAGGTGGGAGAGAAGGTTATGATATTTGATTAAAGGGGATTCTGAGGGCAAATCAATTTTTACAAAATAATGAAGTGCACAGATACATCGATTACAACAAGCACTACTACTGTATATACATACACAAATAAGAAGAGTACATTTTGTTTTTATTCCGACTTTAAAAGCGTGTCTAGAACAATGATAATACAGGGGTAAGCACAGTGTGAAAAGCCTTTTAGACTATTTTTTGTGCTATTGCAAGCACTTTGTGTTCTCAGTGTTTAAATAAATGATCTGCATGCAGGAGCTGGCTGAGTTACTTGATGAAGAGAAGCTCAGCGGTGTCCCGGTCCTGGTGTTTGCTAATAAGCAGGATTTGCTCACAGCAGCCCCTGCGTCTGAAATAGCAGAAGGATTGAATTTGCACACTATCAGAGACAGAGTGTGGCAGATTCAGTCCTGTTCCGCCCTCACAGGAGAGGGAGTCCAGGTCAGTTTGAAAGGCATACCGATGTACAAATGATCCTAAAGCTATTTGGGTTGACTCTGATGTTGTATTTCAGGATGGCATGAACTGGGTCTGCAAGAGTGTGAACGCTAAGAGGAAATAGTTTTCTGTTACCGTGGCTTTCGTTTCTGGACACGCAGAGGGAATGGTGAAGTCTACGAGGGATTGTCAGTAGGTGTAGGAAATGAAGGCACCCCTTCAAAACTATTTAAGTTTAACTTTCCTTTTTTTTTTAAAATGGGCCTACTATGGTCCTGTATACATACAATGAGTTAATAGCATGCTTTCACTAGTCTTTCAATAGCGACAGTTCACCCGGTGATAAAATTAGCTGTTAATATACCTACCCACAGACTTTTTCTTCAGTAGAACATTAAAAAGATGATTTTTTAGATGAATCTGTGGTTGTTTGTGGTTTATAAAATGCAAGTCAATGGTTACTGCACTGCAAAAAATGCTTTTCTTAGATTTTTTTTGTCTGGTTTTTAGTCTAAATATCAAAAAATTCCTATATCAAGAAGCACTTTCTAAACAAGCAAAACATATTGTCTTGTTTAAAGAAATAAAAACGCAAAAATTGTGTCAGTTTTTCCTTTAAAACAAGCTAAATAATCTGCCAATTGGATTAGCAAAATAATCTTATGTCGAAAAGAAAAACAAGATTATTTTGCTTACCCCATTGGCAGATTATTTTGCTTGTTTTAAGAAAAAACTCACTTAATTTTGGCATGTTATTACTAAGAAAAGCATATTTTGCAGTGTGCCATCCTAAATAAAAATAAAAAATAAGTGGCACTTGAAGATACTGTAAGGTCTTATGTAGCAAAGTGATCAGACTACACAAGAAACTGAACATTATTTACAAGATTAAAACCTTGTGGTAGATTGATTGTTTCACATCATAGTACTTCAATGCATCTTCAAAAGCCATGCATATGTTTAATTTTATCTGTACTTGCCTTTTGACTAATCAAGTACCACATTTTTCAGCTAAAATTCCCCCTTCATCCTGCATTATCTCATTGTGTGTAATTTACCAGCTGTTTTTGGGTGAACTGCCGCTTGAAACTCTGAATTAGGAAGTACGTCCATGTGATTCGCATTGATTTGACTGCTTTTCTTTAGTTCACACGTGTCAAAGCCAGATCCTGGAGGGCCGCAGCCCTGCACAGTTTAATTCCAACCTTGCTTCAACATACTTATAGGTTTCAAACCATCCTGAAGAACTCAATTAGTTTGATCAGGTGTGTTTAATAAGGGTTGGAACTAAACTGTGCAAAGTTTCGACCCTACAGGAACTGGCTTTGACACCTGTGCTTTAGTTCATTTCAGATCTTAATCACTCTGCCTTCATTTCTTGAGATGAGTGACTTGCGTTTTTATAATGAATGTTAGTTATTTAGAGGATTTTGTTACTGAGATATTTCTAGAAGTGACAGCCTATATCATTCAGTTCAACTGCTGTCTTTTCATACTTGCTCGCTGACATAAAACTCCATCTCATGTCATATATACATATATATTTTTTAGATTTTCCTGAGAGTAATGAATTACGAGATACAGATTATTCTACCAAATGCAACGTATCAAAAACATCAGTTTGTCCAAAAGAAAAGGGGGACCATTGGTAGGGTAGGAAATGTGTTTTTGATATTACTATGTAAATAAATGTTCCACATAGCAAATTATTTTCTGCACATATAAGTAAATTTTACAAATCCAGGATTTCTTAGAGCTCTATATTGAGATGGCCTGTACAGCTGTAATCTAAACACTACAAAAAGGTAAAAGTCTATTGTCGTCACATCGAGATTGTTTCTGTAGTGTCTCTGAATGTCATGATGTGTGTGAAATTACTGAAGCATATTGAGTAAAACACTGAAACCATGGACAAGTGTGTTGTTTTATTGGCCGCGGATTCTTTTAATCAGTCATTTCTGTTGTTTATTATCTTTGATTTGACTGTTATTGTGCTAATGCTAATACTACAGTCTTTCTATCAGACACATACACACACACACACACTCAACATATGGTGCTGACAGAGGCACATACTCCTAACCACACTGTGTTTTTGTATGCTACTGTATTAATGGTTAAAGTCTAATGTATATATATATAATTTTGGGGGGGAGGAGGTATATTTCAGAATATTTAGGTGTAGTATAGGTGGCACTATTGCCCATGTTTACCATGCTAGCATCAGTCGTTTCAATTGCTGATTTTATATTGTTTCACTGGTTTTATAGTTAAAATTATAAAACAAAGAAAATAACCATAAATTATTAAACCATATTAAATTCTATACATTGTAAAAGCATTACACAGGTATTATATAACTGGCATTATATATATATATATATATATATATATATATATATATATATATATATATATATATATATATATACATACACACACACATACACACACATATACATATACACACTTTTTATTTTTTGTTATTATTATTATTATACACATTATATTAAAACACATACAAATAGAGAAGGAAAAAACAAACCGAGATTGGAAAAGTCAAAAAAAAAAAAGAAATACTGATCAGATGCGTGTGTGCGCGCATGTAACGGTACTGGGTGGACAAGTCAAAGCACATAAATAAGTAAACAAAATATATATACATACAACATGCATAAAAGTAGGAAGCATATTTAATATCAAAATATTATAAATATCAAAAACTGAAGTGAATAATATACTTATAAAAACATAACAAAACATAAAACAAAACCAATCAGTGATATGGAATAACAACAATGGTTGTAATGTAATGATGCAATGACAGTAAATATGACAACTACAGCAATAATAATTATAATGACAGTAAAAAAAACAACAACAACAATAATACTAAATAATAGTAATACACACCAATAACTACTACTACAATGACCACAACTATTAAAACGAACATTATTACAATTACTACCACTGTTACTACAACGACTACTACTACAACAATTATTACTATTACTACTACTTTTACTACGACTGCTAATACAACAATTATTACTACTACTACAATGAACATTACTACTGTACTACTATTGTTACTACGACTACTACAACAACCATTATTACTACTACTTCAACGACCATTACTACCACAACTACTACTACTTTTACCACGACTACTACTACAACAGCTATTACTACTACTACAATGACCATTCCTACTAAAACTACTACTTTTACTACGACTACTAATACAACAATTATTGCTACTACTACAACGACCATTACTACAATAACTACTGTACTACTACTATCACTACAACTACTAGTACAACAATTATTACTAGTAGTACTAAAAATGACCACTACTACTAAAATGAACTTTCCTACAACTACAATACTACTGTTACTACAATGACTACTACAATAATTATTACTACTATTTACTACCACTACTACTGAAATGACCATAACTACAACAACTACTGTTACTACAACGATTACTACTACAGCAATTATTGCTACTATCATTACAACTACAACAACCACTACTACAACAACTACAACTTATTTGAGTTTATTTTAAAGTAATACTATGACTTACAATTGGGATTTTAGAAGCAAAATATTAGTTTAGCTATTTTTATATATGTATTTGAGAGAGAGAGAGACTTTTTTGACCTTTAAAACAACGTTATTCAAATTTTATCTTCTTTCACTTAAAACCAAAAAATAGTTTTTTATTTTTTTCCAAATATTTCTGGAATTGTAAAAAACATTAAACCAAATTATACATATAGTTCCAAACAACCATTACTGTCTGTTGCACACACACACTGATTTACTCCCTAAATACTGTTAAAGGTTACTAGATCTTTAACTTGATGGTAAAAGGCATAATCTACCTTAATTCTTGATGCTATTAAACCTTTCATTGTTCATTTTACCTTTTCGTGAAAGCCATATTGAGGGAGAGAGAGAGAGGGCAATTTTCCTTAAGCTCATTGTTTATCAAGGAATCTTAAAAAGATTTATTAATTTTTACTGAATCCTCATTTTAGAATTATTAAGGATCATGTAACACTGAACACTAGAGTAATGCCTGTTGAAAGTTCTGCATTGTCATCCTAAAGAAAGTTTTGAATTGTATTAATTCTACTTAACTTGTATTATGTCTAATTATTACAGTTTTTGCTAAACGTTATATTTGGAAAGTGAATGCAGCATTGGCATAAAAGCTCCTTTATATCCCTTTTCAGTCTTATAATTATTCAAAGTGATGTTAATTGTTGTTTTTGCTTCTACAAACACAAATGTATGTATTAATCCAAAAACTTTGAACAAACCGTGATTACAAAGCCGCCTTTTGCCAATACATTTTCATTTGCATTTACATTTTTAATGGCCCAAAAGCTAGCCTTAATCTTAATTGAATCAATTCTAGTTAATTAAATCAAAATGAGTCCATCTGAGTGAGTTTGATCTTTAATGAGCAAAACAGGCTCCATCCCTTAAAGAGAAGAATCTCATTCTGCCTTTAATGTTTGTGTAAAAAGCGACCAATGAAGAGCAGAAACATTTGTCCTAGCACCCTTTCCCCCCTCCCTTTCCAGGGTTGCCAAGTCTGCTTATAACACACAACATGGCTTTTTTTAAGCTGCATAAAAAAAATCATGGTTTGCAGGTTTTTTGGGGCTCATTTAAAAAAAAAATATGATTGCTTGTTTAGAAACTATGACAACCAACATAATTATTTTTAAATTGACAATGTGTAGTCATAGTTATAATCTATTAAGATAAACATTATAGAACATATATGGTTTTGAATGGGTTAAAATGCAATGGTTATTACGGACGTTACAGTAAAAAAAAAAAGCCCTGCCTTTTATTAGAAGAACCAATCATTGACTGCTATAGAGCAGGGATCACCTTGTTCTTGGAGGTCCGGTGTCCTGCAGATTTTAGTTCCAACCCTAATCAAACACACCTGAGCAAGCTGATCAAGGTCTTACTGGGTATACTTTAAACCTTGCAGGGCACTGGACCGCCAGGAACGAAATTGGTGACCCTTGCTATAGGGGGTCGCTCTAAACATGTTTTTGTGACAGTTTCTGCAGCTTCGTCATTATAAACCCTATGGGATCAGTAAATGCGCTGAGATCTCTGCAAATACTTGCCTCACAGACATGGAATATATATCTACGTTAAGCTACGTTAACCAACCAATGTTTACTTATTTTGTAATCTGTATGAAACGCTATTCAGAAAATGATACGCTCACTGGCCACTTTATTAGGTACACCTGTCCAACTGCTCATCAACGCAAATTTCTAATCGGCCAATCACATGGCAGCAACTCAATGCATGTAGACATGGTCAAGACGATCTGCTGCAGTTCAAACTGAACATCAAAATGGAGAAGAAAGGTGATTTAAGTGACTTTAAACGTGGCATGGTTGCTGATGCCAGACGGTCTGGTCTGAGTATTTCAGAAACTGCTTATCTACTGGGATTTTCACGCACAACCATCTCTAGGGTTTACAGAGTATGGTCAGAAAAAAAGAAAATATCCAGTGAGAGGCAGTTCTGTGGCGCAAATGCCTCGTTGATGCCAGAGGTCAGAGAAGAATGGCCAGACTGGTTCCAGTTGATAGAAAGGCAACAGTAACTCAAATAACCACTCATTACAACTGAGGTTTGCAGAGGGCATCTCTAAATCTAAAACATCCAACCTTGAGGCAGATAGGCTACAGCAGCAGAAGACCACACCAGGTGCCACTCCTGTCAGCTAAGAACAGGCAACTGAGGCTACAATTCACACAGGCACACCAAAATTGGACAATATAAAATTGAAAAACGTTGCCTGGTCTGATGAGTCTCAATTTCTGCTGCAACATTCAGATGGTAGAGTTAGAATTTGGCATCAACAACATGTAAGTATGGATCCATCCTGCCTTGTATCAACGGTTCAGGCTGGTAGTGGTGGTTTAATGGTTTGGGGGATATTTTCTTGGCACACTTTGTGCCCATTAGTACCAACTGAGCATTGTGTCAATGCCACAGCCTAATTAAGTATTGTTGCTGATCATATCCATCCCTTTATGTCCACAGTGTACCCATCTTCTGATGGCTACTTCCAGCAGGATAACGCACCATGTCATGAAGTGTGAATCATCTCAGACTGGTTTCTTGAACATGACAATGAGTTCACTGTACTCAAATGGCCTCAACAGTCACCAGATCTCAGTCCAATAGAGCACTTTGCCTTTGGGGTGTGTTGGAACAGGAGATTCACATCATGGATGTGCAGCTGACAAATCTGTAGCAACTGCATGATGCTATCATGTCAATATGGACCAAATATTTCCAGTACATTGTTTAATCTATGCAATGAATGATTAAGGCAGTTCTGAAGGCAAAAGGTGTCCAACTCGGTACTAGTAAGGTGTACCTAATAAAGTGGCTGGTGAGTGTATGCGCAATACGTAATTGACTCTTATGGTTATAGTTTGATTGAAAGGGTAATATCTGATTGTGTCCTCCAGAAAAGATCTGATTGCAGATCTACACACAGTTCCAGACAACCATTCTCAGACACAATGCACTCAATGGAGCTAGTGACGACACAGAGTTCGTTTAGATGCACCAATACAAGTGCAAAACAGCGATTTTTGATTACCTTAATCTGACTAAAGTAACAATTCAACTAAACATAAAACGAATTAAGACGTGGAGTATTCCTATTTTAGTCACATTATTGAAGTGCTGCACAGGCAGATAGGGGCAATTGAATTGTTTTACGTTTAATCCACTTACATTTGTAAAAACTAACACTACCCCTTCATGTTATCCAAAAACAATTTGATTGTGTGGAACCCAACATTGTTTTTTTACAGTGTATGTTGCTCACTTA